ATATATATATATATATACACACACACACACACTGCTTAATAAGAAAGAATTTAGAAAGAACCTCCTTTTCGGAGACAGTAAAATTTAGATACTGGATTTTCCGAGTCGTTTACCGTGAACGCAAATTGCAGAATTGAAGAACAGAGAAGCTAAATTGTCAAAAAAAAAGCTCAACATTTCGCTAGAGAGCAGAATTGAAGAGCTGAGAAGCTAAATTGCCGAAAAAAAGATGCTCAACATTTCGCTCTTTCACTAGAGAGCTGAATAATAAAGGCGATTTTGCGACCAGTTGCTTCAATTGTTGTAGAAACTGGTCGGTTTTTGCGGTCAAAACAGCATATAACCGGTAAACCCATTTCGCTTTTTCCACCGAGTAGATGCTGTCCAAACACGGCTGGCTTTTGCATCAATACATCAGCCACTAAACGGCAAACCATATTCGTATACCAAACTAAGCGGCAAATGTTATTTGCTGAACACTAAACCCCGTAAAATCCATCTGTTCAAAGAAGCGACCTTGAGAGTTTCTTATACACGAATCTCTTCGTGTTAACTCCACCTGACGGTATAATTCAGTGCGTCCATTTCACATTGCACTTCTAGGTAAGATTCTTGTTGCGAAATAATAAAATGGAAAGATAATGAACAATGAAAAGCAATATTATTTCTCGTGGATCCCACTCTTTTATTCATCGAACTCAATGGAGACAAATTACTTCCTGAATGTCTTTAATTAAACAATTTTAATGAAATAGTAAAAAGAGTGCATTCCAAAAGGGGAGAAAAGAGAAAAGAAAACATAAAAGTATGTTGACGATTCTGTAACGATCGCCTTTCTCTCTTGTAATTCCTGATCTTTTTCTACGATTCGCCAGAATGATCAGTTCACAGAGTGTCGCTAAAAATGTTTATTTACATTCATTGGAATATCGACATTAACCTTTTAAACGACGCGGTCGTGGATGGCGTATAACGTTGCCGCCGGTATCGCTGCCATTCATATTTGTTTTTATCCGCGTGCGCGCACAGAAATATCTTCGAATGGAAACGGCTGGACGCGATACGATTTTATGAGCCACATGTGCCCGCAATATACGCGGACAATACAAATGGTGACTTAGATCAGCAGGTGAATTCTTCCTCCAGCGAGAGAGAATCTTTCTCTTTCTCTCTTCCTCTTTTTTTTTTGCCCCCGCCAGCAAAAGCGAAATTGTTCTTGCCATTTCTTTTTCAATATCTCCTGCTTTATGAATGGGATAAGAGGAAAAAGAGAGAAAACCACGCGGTAGATTCACACGATGTGCTGCGAGGAGGAACTTGCCAGACTTTATAAATGGTAGCCTCAAGTGGCTTTAAGTAGAAGAAGTCGTGCGAATGGTTATAAACGGCAAGAAAAACAGAAAACTGCGCGAGGATCGAATGTCATCGCACTGGTTATTGTTGCTCGTCGGTTTATCGCATTATTATTTCTTGTTATGACACGAAATGTTGAATTTTAAATTGTAATTTCTTTTTCATACGCTAGAAGAGAGAGAGGCTACTTCTCAAGAATATTAAGATAAGAACTCCTAATCAAGGCCCACAGGTATATCGCATCAAATTATCTGATTGAATTCACGCGAATAAAATATTCTCGAGGCCTAACAGACTTTCCGAGACATTCGACACGCTAGCCATATTTAACTTGGAAAGTGGCGAGGCGCCTGAATCTTGTTCAAGAGCATCCTGAACCGTGTATTATGCAAATTTGATAACGTTTTAAAATCTGATTTACGACATATCCGGAATAAGTGGTGGTCGCGTCAAAGACGCGAATGAAGGTTCCGCCGACGAACTTGAGACTTGGCCTGTGACTGTACGGGAACATTCTTTCCGATAGCGTCGCCTTTGCGCCGAGCGGACTGATAAGCATGCAAAGCCGACGGTATCGCGACCAAGGGTCATTTCTTTCCGAGACGTCGATGAGTCAGTCGCGAAGACAGAAATAACGTCGCGGCACGGTAATGTCGTCGTATCGGATAAAAAAGAAGGAGCGCGCGATAACCGGCGCGGCGAGCCCGAGAGAGCGTTATACGTTCGTTCCGCTCCAATTTTGAAATACGGCCGGACGATCTATCATCCTTGAAAATTGGAGTAAAAGCTCCGCCTTTTTTTTAGTTCGCCACTATTTGCAACGTTTCCGTTGCTGCGATACATTAAAACAAGCTATCGAACGCATGATAAATCGGACGTTTTACATCGCCGTCCTAGTATCGTGTCTCTACCATATAAAAACAGACGTTTCGATAATACGTAGTGTGTGCGAATGCATTGCACAAATATCTTTAAAGCAATGAAGTTTTGAAGTTTAAACGAATGATTAAAGTCACTAATGTTTCCGTTTCTACCAATATAGTTTAATTTTAATCTCAGTTCTAGTTCTGAAAATTAGAAAAAGATGTAGATTGAGTTGAACACGAGATTTAAGTTAATCTACATTTGTAGAAACAGGCACATAAAGAAAAAAATTAAACGTCATACGATCGATGGATAATAAGAGTGTATTGATAACAACCAGCACATCTGACAATTGCAAATAAATTTGTTTTAAAACACTATTCGAGCTTTTTATGATTTAATCCTTCCTCAGGCAATAACTTAACCGGTTAAAAATTATTGCTATTCTTCCAATTTATACGCAAATAAATGAATATCCTTCTGCCTTTTCTACATGACTTTCACTGAAATAAATATTGTTGTCGATTTTGTCACGTGTCTTACGTTACTCGCTGAAGTTTTGATTAAATCTGTTTATCTATCTTGTTCTAAATTTGTACATATTCAAAAGCGAGATGAACACTACACAGAGGGAGAGAGAGAGAGAGAGATTTCCCTACGATCTTCCGTGGCAAAAGTCATCTGGACTTTCATTGAGATGCGAATGGGCCGGGAGGCGAGCATAGCGCGCGAGAGATCGCCATCCGTTGCGACGTGTCGTGTATCGCGGGTCCCAACGAAATTTTACGTAACATGTAAATGCGCTCGTCGTGAATGCGGTCGCGTTACGTGCCTCTTTCTCTCTGTCTCTCTCGTTTTCTTCTTCGCCGTCTCTTTTTATTGCCGAAGCGGCACTTACGAAACCTGTTTCGGTGTAGACCAACGGCTCTCTCGGTCTCTCTTTCAAGATACCGACCGACGAATTTTTTTTTTCTTCACCAGCGAGAACGAGTCCCTCCCCAAGTTCAGAAATATTATCACGTTGTCGCCAAAACGGTTCTCTTTTTCTCTCCTGTATGTCAGTGAAATCCCCCGCGAGTATATACCCTACGGCGCGAGCGAGAGGAAGAGGGTGATAGAGGTTGCTTGGCTTCGAGAGCTCCTTTACGAATTTTGTCACGCGCGCCGAAGGGACGCGGCTGCCGGCTAGCTCTCCATTTGTATTCGTTGCGCAAGGTCCGGTCGCGCCCTCGTTCCTTAAACAGTATAATTTGCGGAATCTCGTCGTGACGAGCAACTCTTTCTCCTCCCTTTTCATCTTCTTTCTCCATCTTTTGTCACATCGGTGTTGGATTAAATCGTCCGAGATCGCCGATGTTGTATCGACAAGCTCTATATTCGCGAAAACGTCTCGTTTCTTGTTTTTCCCAATTTGCGAGAAACGCGCGGAGTTGATCTTTTGCAAAATCGCGGTTTGTTCCGCCCACGCATTTAATTCGCAAATGTGAGAGATATAGATTCGAGATGAAGTAGTGCAATCGACGGAAACGTGTACGACTTTTCTGACACGTTTTTTTTTTCAGCCTTGCGTAGGCCGAATTGGTACGTCAATTCGACGGATTAATATCGCGCCCTGTGGTTTTTCAATTATCGCGACCAGTATTGCGCACGGCATAAAGACATATAACTCGATTATGCGGTATTATGACGTCTCGATGAAATAGCTTAATACAATTTCCGTGTAGGACGCACAGCGAATCTGACAGTACGATAATTAAAGTGCGTTGCTTTATCGCTATCAGAGAGGGCCCTCACCCCCCCCCCTCTCTCTCTCTCTCTCTCTTTCTCTCTCTCTCGACTCGGACGACTACTGAAAATTAGTCTCCAGTTAAACTCGATTACCTCGCGATCGGAAATATCGATAGATTTGCTAAACGCTCATCTCGATAAAAAGCATAATTCGATCAGCGCGCACGTGCGAAATGAAGGGAATCTAATAACGATAGGCAAGCCATAGGGCTTGCCCTGCCTCTTTTCCTATACAAAAAAGAAATGTACTGTCTTGAAGCAAAAAATCAAATAAAATAAAAACTACAAATCAAAACGAAGGAAATTTTAACATCCGAATTTATTTCTGTTCAAGTCTCAATTCAAATGCAATAAATTTACTCTAATTTAATACGAATGATTAAAGAAGCCCATATTTGATCAAGGCAGATCTTTCTCGGTGCCTAATAATATTCTTGTATGAATTTTTAATATAACAACAATTTCCAGTTCCAACACAAACTGCATGCCAATCATTTTCTTCCTTAATTTTTGTAACCCAAGAAAATTGACTCGTTGATAT